TTTTCTTTTTGCTTATGTGGTGCTGAGGAATTGAACCCAGGGCCTCAGGCATGCAAGGCAAGTGCTCTACCACTGAGCCACCTTCCCAGCCCCATCAGCTATACATCTAATACCCATATTTTTTCTAGCTGTTTTTCCTTTATTGTAAGGTGATGTACAGAGGGGTTACAGTTACATAAGTAAGGAAGTGAGTACATTTCTTGTTTAACTTGTTATTTTTTGAATATTTTATTATCTTTATGTAGTTAGACAAAGGTGTTGCCATTCACTGAAGCAGTCTATGAACACAGTGCATCTTGATCAATATCACCCCTTTCAACATTCTCACCCACCCCTCCCAACCCACCACTTCTCTTACTTTTAGGGCATGTATTAAATTTGTCAGTTAGCAAAACAGTTTATGTGTACAATGCATCTTGACCTGTGTCATCACTTCAACATCTTTACCCCCTTCAACCCACCCCATCCCTTATAGTTCTTAATTTTATGGTGTATATACAATGAATTCTTCCTTACATTCTTACATTTTCATTTATCTGAGTTAAAAAGATTTACTTTACAAATTTACTTTACCATTCCATCATTAAGATACACAAGTACAACGACAACAAGGTGGCTTATACCTGTTATTTCTAGCACTCATTGGTAAAGGCAGGGTTATCCCAAGTTGGAGGCCAGCCTGAGCTATGGAATAAAGAGACTTAGTCTGAAAAACCTGAAAAAACTAAATTCTGCAAAATGAATATATTTGTAGTTGGATTAAATAAATATATTTTAAAGATAATTGCTAAATTTGTAAAAGATACTTTGAAAGAATACATATTATGGACAAAACATGACATACTAAAATCAGAAAATTAGACTTCCCCAAATAATGATGACAATACCTGCTGATATGTCCATCACTGGCATAAAATTGCAAATGTTCTTTGGAATGACTACCATCATTGGTAAATGTCTCCATAAATTCAGTAAATAGATTCGGTAACTTCTCCACAGAAACTGAAATTTAGGAAAAATTTCAGTTATTAAACATCATTTCAGTAGACCTTTTTTCCTCTCATTACCCTATGATATAACATAAAGATTCAAATTTTGATGTAAAAGCACATTTCAAAGATCAAAATTTTAACTACTACTCACTGCTACACTAAAAATAGACCAAAATTTCATAGCACACTGATCAATTGCCAATTTCCATATACTGTTTCCAAAAGGCCTGTTAGTCTCTACATAAGTATGAAAATAGAAATCTTTATTAGTCTATTTCTTGAAGTATTATACTTATAGTACTGTATCTCATCCAATTGAGAAAAAAACACACAAACAGAATTAACAAAGATACTCAGATTACATGCTCATTCAGTAAGAAACATGGTATTCATGCCTAGAACTGTACAAATTAAGCATACTTTTAAATGCATTTGACACGTGCTACAAAGAAGACAGGTTATTCTTTTGAAAGTAGACTTTTCCAAATTAAATTGATTCATCCCTATTCCTGGATAGTCTTTCTTTGGGAATAATAAAAATAGACAAATGACTTCCAAACTTTGAAAGAATAACAAAGAATCTGTTTTCTTTCAAACATAATGATGTCTTCTTAAATGTGAATGTCTATAAATTTCTTCGACCTTGTTCCAATTTAGTAGTGAGTTTGACCTTTATCAACTACCAAGGCTATATTTTCACAATGTATTTTCCTGACTTAATTTTATGCTCAAACAAAATCACAAATTATATTCAAGAATTTTTTTGCATTGTTTTCAAATAATCATGATCTCAAGGATACTCAGTGAAGGAATACAAAGGTGCAATGCTTATGTACTTCTGATCATATGAAATAATATTTATCAAAATAAACTCAAAGAAATGGTAATAAAAGGTTTTATTTGTTGTTGCTGTTTTTGTTTTTTGTTTTTGTCTTCTTTATCCATCTTTGGGAAGCCAAGAGGGGCGGGGCACAGAAATGGAGGGACAAAGGGTGAACAAATGCTACAGTGGTACTCTATGTTGAAAATGAACTATACAACTTGTGGGTGGGATGGGATGGGAAACAGAGACCAAGAGGGAAGGAGTGACATTGTACAAAAAGAAATATACTCATTTCCTGACTTACGTAACTGTAACCCCTCTGTACATCACCTTTAGAAAAACAAAACTTAAAAATAAAAATAAAAATTTTTAATATTTTAAGTAGAATATGAAGTTGCAGGTTTAAAATTATTCAAATTTAATTAGCAATTCAGAAACTTCTCAAATTGTAAAAATGTATTAATTTTGTGTGAATATTGTATAGACTGCAGAGACAAATGTTTAAGATATAAGTCAATGAATATCCTCATGTTTTTTAAATGCCAGAAGCTGAAATCCAAATGGAACTGCTAACTATCATATAGCTTCAGTTGATCCTCTTGGCTGCAGAAAACATGAAGCATCACAAGGGCAATATGATACTTTGGGCTATTTATAGTCTAGAGGAATTTAAAATATTTGCACATACACAAATCAAGTAATTCAGAGCAAATTTATTTATATGCAATAGCTACAGCCTCTTAGAAAGAAACTGTTTTTTACCTTTAAATTATGTTTCTGTAGATTGGAAATTGCAAGATTTTTTTAAATGCTACTGGAGTTTGAATTTTGGTCCTCCTGTTGGTGCTCTACTGCTTGAGAGATGTTTCTAACTCTGTTTTCTGCTGGTTACTTTAGAGATGAAGAAGCACAAACTCTTGTCAAGGCTGACTCTTAGTGTCATCTTACGGATCTCAGCATCCTGAATAGCAAAGAAGAATGAACTACTGACATTTGGCAAAAAAGGAATGTCTTATTTATAATTGAATGCTAAACACTAAGAGCTTAATTAGATTAAACAATAATCAGAGGAAAGAATCTAGAGTCTATAGCCCTCAGTAAATATGATTAATAGACTGCATTCTTTCTTATTCATACTTTGTTTCATCATTTTAGGATTAAAAGAAAATTGTTCCTACATCATAAAACCTTAAAAACAGCCTAAGAATATAAGAATCTTCAGTTTACATAACATATTTTGCAGGCTGAGATCTGGTTTAGTATCATTATTGTTAATAAGTTCTTACTTGGCTTTGGGAGCTAATGGCAGCCATATACACAACTATTTTAAAAGGTTTATCACAAGATAAAATTCTAAGACCAAAATTATTTTCTTCATCTATAGTTGTGATTATCTTAAAGAATAAGCAAACACAGTTAAGTCATTGGGAAAATAACAGAGATCTAAAAATGATATCTAGCCCAACATTCTATAAAGCTTTCATTACAGAGTTTTTAAAGTACAGTGAATGAAATATATAAGTCTCAGATACTTCCACAGAAAGTATCAGTAACTATATTCTCAAGGACAAAGCTTACTTAGATACTATGCCTGATCTTAGCCAAACGGCTGAGAAATGACAAGGAGAAAAAAATATTCAGAGGCTCAATGGCACATCACTAATTTTGTGTTGTTATAATTCTATAGACAAACATATATGTATACTAAACAAAAATATATTTTCTGTAGTATATATACCTTGCTTATAATTGCAACACTCCAGGAGCCTGAGGCAAGAGAATTGCAAATCCTAGGCCACACAGGCTACACAGCAAGAATGTGTCTCAAAAACAAAAAACAAAAACATTTTTGCAAAACATACTATCATTTTAATTGACAAATGTATATTTTTATGAAGCAGATGTTCTGCAACAAAATGTTTTAATTATGTGGAATACACTGCCAATTGACAAAGGTATTGTGCTTCTGTAGAACTTGTTTATGAAACAAAGATGTCTATTCTGCAAACATATGTAATAACCAAATCCTTAAAGATTACTAATTTTGTTTTTAAAGTCTTTAAAAGTCTTGGCGCTGATGGCTCACACCTTTAATCCTAGCTACTCAGGATGCTGAGATCTGAGGACAGGAAAGGCCATGAGACTCTTTATCTCCAATTAACCACCAGAAAACCAGAAGTGGTACCTTGACTCAAGTGGCAGAGTGCTCACTTTGAGCTGAAGAGCTCAAGGACAGCACCCAGGCCCAGAGTTCAAGCCCCATGACTGAGACCCACACCCTCCCAAAAAATGTCTTTGAGAAATTATTTGAAGAAATTAGTATCCTATGTAAGAATAACATTACCAAAAATGCATATATTTAAATCTTTTCCCAGAAGTGTTCATGGAGTATGCTGATGTACCTACATTTGGCCATTTTTGGTCATTGTGGCCAACATGTGTTTGACAGATAGCTGTTCAAGGACAATGATACTGCAATGGTCAGAGAAAAAGAAAATCTAATGATGACCTCTTAGCCTCTCAATCACTGTTAAGTAAACAGACCAACATCATACAAATACAACTAATTTCTCTGGAGGAAAAAAAGGATATGAATCCTTCAGACTTTTGTTTCCCCTAACATTGATTTTTGAAAAAGACTTCAAACAAAAGCACACAGTCTCTCTGGAAAAACAAAAAACAAAAACCATGAAATACTTTGCAAGGATCATAAAGTAGTTGTTGGAATGCTGCTTTTGTTTTCTCCCTCTCCCACTATTCTGCTATCTAGTCAAAATGCAGGTAAAAGGTAACTATGGTACCGTAACATTTCATAAAAGAAAAGAAAGTATAGGAAACTTGGGAATAGTGGGAGAGGGAAAATGACCAGAGGGTAAAAAAAATTTTTTTAATGTTCTGAGTAAAAGCTAAATCATGTTCTGAGTAAAAGCAAAAATTGGGAAATAACTGTTTCTGATACAAAAAGATTATTAACTTGAATAACTAGCAATAACGTTCTACAATGAAAAAAAAAGGGAATCTTTAAAGGAGCTATAATGAGGGAGTATAGGGGGAACACTAACAGCAAGAATGTCTGAACAGGAGGAAGTAACAATGCTTAATAGGAAATGTACTCATTACCTTGCTCATGTAACTGTAACCCCTCTGTACAGTATCTTTACAATAAAAAATATATATGGAAAAGAAAAAAAAAGAATGTCTGAACAAATACAGAAATGTACACTTCAAGGCCAAAGATGGGATTTCCCTTCTCAAAGCTACTGTAGTGAAAACTCCAGCCTATCAAGAACCCTAAATAACTAGTTTTTACAATCAAGAGTGTTCATGTTTCTCTTCTCTTCTCTAGCTCTTCTCTTTTCTAGCTCTCTCTTAGCTCTTTTCCCCAGCTTTCTCCTTTTTTCTCTCTCTCTCCCAGCTCGCTCTCTTTCCCAGCCTTTCCCTACCACGTGAAGGACCAAGATGGCCTGGTGCCAGCCTGAATGATGAATAAACCTACCCCTTACCTGAAAAAAGAAAAAGTGTTCATGTTTTAGCTTTTGTTTAAATTTGCTACTAACTGTGTAAGAGCAAATATACCTAACACTTTCTGCCTCGAAAATTACCTAAGACAGTGGCAGCCTACAAAGGGTTCTTAAATAGCTATTAGGATGAACAAACCATGTTTTTGTTCAGCAGGACATTGCTGACCTGTAGTGGGCCAATCTGTACAGACCAACTACCCACGAGACAGTACCAAAGATGTTTAGAATACCATGTAGTCACAAATAAAGTCAATATTCTTTACCAAATAAAAGTTTTCATTCAACTTGATGTCTATTTTTATCACTTACTTAGAAATTTATATCATCTCCCAAAAAGCTTTCTAGAGGTGCTCGTAGCATCTAGTACCTATAGGCAAAGGGAAACAAGGTTTCCTCTTAGAACTGGTTTGCCCAAAATCACAAGAGCTGGTGGGGCTGTTTTGAACTAAAAACAATGAGATACTAATATATGAGTGAATATAAAGATCCACACCACACAAAGCAATGTACAAACTTTACTTAATACAGTCAGGTCTTTAATACCACTCACAAATTCCAATTATACTCAAAAGATTAAAATTGTTCTGGTCAAAGAATGAGGAGGATTCAGAAAGATTAAAATTGTTCTGGTCAAAGAATGAGGAGGATTCAGAGTGAGGTAAGTACAGGGAAAACCTAGCGAGAGAGCTGTGACTTAGACCACTTAAACCCAGTACTTCTCCTTTATCGCATCACAAACGTTTACAGAAAAATAATCAGGAATCCTGGGGCTCCAGTGGCACATGCCTCACTTTAAAGAGCTGCAGGGCTTCTCTGAAGCTAGTATTTGTTAGATGCTTGAAAAAAAGAAACAAAGGATTAGGCAGTACTATTTCTGAAGCTCAGCCCTCATCTGGGGTTTGCACTGGACAAGCCCACCTCTCGCTAACACGGGCCCCAAAGTCCCAGGGCCAAGTCGACCCGCCGCCTCTTTGGGGTACACGGAGGGTGAACCCAGGAAACAAGCCACGCCACGCCAGGGGGTACAGCAGGGGGGTGCGCCACAACTGTCAATTCCTGGACCCGCCCCAGTCCCAAACCTCCGAGGGTGGCGGCCAAAGCAATCGCTCAGACAGGCAAACGGTTCCCATTGCGCCACAGCAGGACCCTGCCCACGCCCCCCCACAAGGCCCGCCGCGGCTCGACCCCCGCCGCTGCGTTAGCACGTCACCATGACGTCAGCCTCCGCGACCCACGAAGGGCCAGGAGGTCCTTGGAGGGTGACGATCCGCGGTGGGTGTGGGAAGGCCGGCCAGTGTACCTGTGGTATCCTTCTGGGTTAGCTTGGAGGAAACGGGAAGCGTAGAGTGAGTGAAAGTCTAAGGGTGAAGGCAGAGGTCAGGAGGCCAGAAGCAGGAGGATTCCTCGAACAGCTTGAGGACCAAGAGGGCCCTTCTAAGGGGCGTTGTAGCACAAACGCCGTGTTGGTAACCGGCGAGCGGCTTCTCTGGCAACCCCCGTCCCGCCCCTTCCGGCGTCCCGCAGCCGGCGTAGTTGATTGGTCCCTGCTCGGGAGAGCGGGCTCCTAGCCTGCTTCTACCGGCGGAAGTCTGGAGGCGGAACCCAGGTGATTTTCTTTTCCCTTCCTCAAGGCTTTGTTTTATTTGAAGGGCAGCACTTGTGCTTAGTTACCGGAAAACCTAACTAAGCTCATCCACCACAGAAAACAAGGCTGATTCCAGAAAGGTCTGGAAGTGTTCTCGTTTTGTTTTAAAGGGGAGGTTGGAAAAAGCCAAAGCAAAACTGCAATTGAAGGAAAACTCACCTTTAGTGTATGACGTTTGTTTATTTTACCTGGGGCTCAGGTGTCTTTTTATCCTGTGAGAAAATTCAATTGTGGTGTTGGAAGTGCCTCCAGAAAGCCATCTCCGGCTGTCTGTCCTACAGCCATCTGGTATGATTTTTAAATGGAATAAGAATAGCTTAGGAATGCATTCAGTACTTCTGTGCTCCTGATATGAGTGTGCTTAGAGCAACTATTAACAGCCGCTTAACCATGTATGCTCCCATCTCATATTTGATTTTACTGAAGAGCATCTGCAGTTTGATTCAGCGATGCCTTATTTTTCCCCAGCCCTATGATTACCCAGCAAAAGGTCATGAAAGTTAAAATTTTCTAACGAGTAATAATTGTGCCCTGTTTACAAAGTGATGGAGATTGAAATTTATCACGGATAGTTTGTAGCCTTTGGCAACTCAACTAACTTCTCTAAACCTATTTTCTAAGAAAAGGAAGAGGAGACTGTGGAGTTGGGGGCATCAGTGGCTCAAGCCTGTATTGTAAACCTGTCTACTCAGATAGATCTAAGAAACATGGTTCAAAACCAACACAGGCAGACATATCCAATTAGCTAATAAAAAGCAGTAAATAGCGCTGTGGTTCATGTAGTAGAATGCAAACCTTGAGGAAAAAAAATTGGGAGACAACCCTAGGCCCTGCACTCAAGCCCTCAGTATGGTAACATAAAAAATAAAATAAGATGTATACACAATTCTGGTCTATTTGGTGTTAACCAGGGATTCTAGCTTAAGTTACTAACCTATCATAATGAAAGAAATAATTGTAAGTGGCACTGTGGCTCAAGTGGTAGAGCTCTTGACTTGAGCCAAGGAGCTGAGGGATAGTGCCCTGGCCCAGACAAAATAAATAAAAAATAACTGTAAAAAGAAGTTCATTTTTTTAATCAATGTGTTCAATTAATTGTATTGCTATTGTAGTGGGGACATGCATTGAGACCACTTAGTCCACAGTGAAAATGTAGATTTTTATTGAGCGAAAAGTGCTGCGGTGCCAAGACCACACGTGGAGTCGGGATCCTTAGAAATGGCCCCTGAGTGCTAGCCCACATTGGCTTTTAAGCATTTTTGGCTGGAGTGGGAAAAGGGGGAGGTTGGGTATTGATTTTAGGCAATGATTGTTACAAGAAATTTGCACCTTAAGTTTAAATTTCCCACCAAGATTTTGCTAGTAGGAAGCAGGGGAATAGAACAAAGGTGATGATGGTTCAGCTGGGTTAGGACTGGCATTGTTCAGAAAATAGCAGAAGCAGAGTTACAGTTACTAGCTAAAATAGCTAGCTAGTTGCCATATCCACAGAAAGCACAGTTACATTTATATCCTAAAATCATTCATTATCCATTTTACACAATCCAATTTTATATCCCATCCTTATTTCCTCCACCATATCACTATCAGATGTAATCATAAAGCAATCATAAAAATCTAAAAGATTTCCTGTAAACATATAGTCTCAAATTTACAATTTTAACTGAATTGTCCAAGTAGAGTAAGTGGCATCCCAATCTATATCTAATCTTCCCCTAAAAACAGATGCAATAGTGAGTTTTGTGACAGGAAAATGGGAAAAACCATTCCAGCCCATCACAAAACCCTAATCTTCTAAGTATTAGAAGGTGGACAGTGGATCATGTAGAGAACGGGAAAAAAAAAGTCTAAGGATTTCTACTTCATGGAAATAAAAGAAATATTTTATTTCGTGGAGTTGAAATATTCTGTAAATAGTTACATATTTGTTCTACGAAGAGCTAAATGTCATATGTTAGGTTTTAAGGGCTATATAGTCCCTTTCATACTGCTCATATTGTTGCACAGAAGAAATAGAGAATTTGTAAACATGGTTTTGGAGGAACAAAGGAACCTAGATGACAATTAATAATTACATTACTCTCAATAGCAATACAGTTGGAACCCTTGTGGAAGAGGCTATCTTTACAAGTTTAAATTCTGTTTTTAAAATGGAGTCTAAAATATTTATACTACAGATGACTTTAGGTCTCAGACCATGTTTATGTCATTAGGTGTCATTTCATTTTTTTCTATTTTAGTCATCATTACCTTAGGCATTCCCAACCAAGCAAAGACTTGATATGTCTCACTAATAAGCCTGCAAGCTGGAAAGGCTATTATTTCATCCACACAGCTAAATTTGCAAGAGATAGGAGAAATTCATAGAAATATCTGAAGGAAGAAGATTTAGAACTGTGGTCTGAGCTCTGTCCATGTCCACTGCTGCTCTTACATTCCAGCAATTTTGGTTTTCTCCTATCCATTTCCTACAGATTAGCTAGAGTGATCTTTACAAATGAATATCTGAAAGAATGTAATATTTTTAAAAGCCAAGGTTTGGGTACCAGGTAGCTCCCACATGAGAGTAAACGTTGAGCTACAAGGCTTCCATGATCTCTGTCCTAGTGGTACTCCAATGCCACAGTGTCCTATGGACCCCTCCACTCCATAAGCTGTGCTTATTCTTTCCCCTCTCTCTGCCTACACTATGTCTCTCTCAGCTTCATGGTCTCTTTCTTCCTTTTCTATCAATAAGGCTAAACAAGGAAAGTAAACGACTTCCAAAGTGAAAAACTATAAAGTACTGAAGAAAGAAACTGAAGAAGACATTAGAAGATAAAAAGACCTCCTCCATACATTGGTCAGATTTATGTTGTGAAAATGGCCATACTGTAAAATATTATATAAATTTTGATCCCT